CTTTCTTTCTTCCTTCTCTCTTGTATCCTGATGGGAAGAACAACAGTAGCTCCTGGGAGGAGTCAGACAAAAGAGAGAAGAAAGCCTTGGGATCAAGCTCACCTTTCTCACTCCTACTTTCCAGCCCAGAAAAGCCATAGATGGAGATGAGGAAGCATTTAACATTCTGTCAAATCCAAACTATTCATTTCTGAATAAGAGTGAACAACCTGATTACTACATTAAGTGTGTTTATGGGACTTGAAAAGGAAAGAACAGAACAATTTAACCAAAGCTGAGAAGAAAACAAAACATGAGATTTGCCCGTCTCAAAAAAAAAAAAAAAAAAAGTTTAAATTTGCCACATATAGTTAAAATGACAACTGGAGACACAAAATACATTTGTTCTTGGTTATATTTCAAGTTGTTCTTGTTCCACATACCTGTCAAAGAAACCATGCAGGTTACTGCTAAACTGGATAAGAACACTGAGGGAGGTATATTTTAAATAGTACCCTCCCACACCATACAATCTATTTATCCTAGAGAATAGAGAATTCTAGCTGTCTGAAATGTAATGAATAAAAAAATGACAGTCCACGAAATCAACAACATTAATTGAGAGTCAAAGTTTAATCCACATTGTAACAATATCAAGATCATCATACATTATTTTAGACAAAAGAGAGCAGATGATGATGATGATGACAATAACTCTCTTTACAATCTCACGGAGCTAGATTCTATAGCTCTGGCAGATTATTAGCATTTGCATATTGTCTGGGGAAATGGTCTCTTAGTCAGTGAACCCTATGCTACTGTGTTGTTGTTGTTGTTGTTGTTAAGTGCCGTCGAGTCGTTTCCGACTCATAGCAACCCCATGCACAGCAGAACTAAACACTGCCTGATCCCGCGCCAGCCCCACAATCCCTGCTATACACTGAAAATTATTTGGGCAAAACCTTATGCTACTGTGTAGGGTGATAGATTCACATCAGGTTGGGAAATCTGGGGTGAAGAAATTTTTCATATCAAGGAAAAATTAAATAACTCTGAGATCACAAACTAAAACTGTGAGCTGGATGACTTGTAGCCAATCAGCTTTGATCATCATGTCCACCTGAGCCAAACAGTATCATGAATGATGGAGAGTTGGTAGAATGTGATGTCTAGAAGTGAACTTGAGAGCTGATGAGTTCAATCCCAGCAGCAACCTGAGTGGCTTCTATAGAAGTTGTTAGATGGAATTTGCATCTTTCACATAAATGAGTGTTATTAGTAGATATATGGTAATGAACATAACACCCATATTAATTTTGCAGGTATTTGTGTCAGATGGTCCAAATATATCTAAACACAAATATTAGCTAAGAGAATACTTTTGAAAAAGATGGTCAAATCACAAAATAAATAGCAAATTAATCATACACTATTTGAAGCTATCTGAGAACATATATTGCTCTTGTTGTTGTTGTTGTTATGTGCCGTCAAGTCAAACCCGACTCATAGCGACCCCTCCTTGGGTTTCCGAGGCAGTATCACTACGGAAGTAGGATTGCCCAACCTTCCTTCTGAGGAGTGGCTGGTGG